ACTTTTAAACATTGTTTTGAAAGCTCATGAAAATCCCACCGGGATATCCCAAAAAACTTCACTTAACATTGACAAACCTTCTATATTATGTTTGTGAACACAGCAAGTGATGTCCAACTAAACACTGTGATTAACAATACAGTGGACCCCCGGTTTACGATATTATTTCATTCCAGAAGTACGTTCAGGTGCCAGTACTGAACGAATTTGTTCCCATAAGGAATATTGTGAATCAGATTAGTCCATTTCAGACCCCCAAACATACACTTACAAATGCACTTACATAAATACACTTACATAATTAGTCGCACTGGGAGGTGATCATAAAGTGGGGGTCCACTGTACTCTTATTGCTAAACATAACCAGGAAAAATTTCTGGCTCTGCACCTTGACAACAACTTGAAATTCAACACCAATATCCACCACATAACAAAAAAAGTGTCCAAAACAGCTGACATCCTTTCAAACATACATTATTATATACCACAAACAGCACTACTTACACTATACTATTTATTTATTTAGTAATTTAAGCATACAAACAGAGGTACAAAAAATACAGGTACGAGCAGCATGCCAAGTGATCTACCATTACTTCACCTATGCTGAATGTACCTGGAGATCTACAACAGCAAATTAAGCCATTAATAACTCAACAAGACGCTACAGTACGAGTAATCACACAGTCCACTGCTAGACAACACACGCCCCCACTCTTCAAAGACCTAAATCTACTTACTATATCAAACATTCACTCTTCTACCGTGCAACCTTCATTTACAGAACAATAAATTCTAATATTAATCCTGACCTGAAGTGCTTCCCTGACAGTTGCAACAGAACCCATAGACATAGTACAGTGGATCCCCGCTTTACGATCACCTCCCAATGCGACCAATTATGTAAGTGTATTTATGTAAGTGCGTTTGTACGTGTATGTTTGGGGGTCTGAAATAGACTAATCTAATTCACAATATTCCTTATGGGAACAAATTCGGTCAGTACTGGCGCCTGAACATACTTCTGGAATGAAATAATATCGTAAACCGGGGGTCCACTGTACTAGAAATAAAAATCTCTATGACCTACCCAGTGTCTGACTTAACATATGTAAAAACTCAATGTGCATAAAGGACCCAAAAATCTGGAACTCTCTGCTAGAAATCTCCAGAGACTCAGTATCTGCCAGTGTCCTCAATACTACTGCAGAAAACACCTCATTTTCGTAATATATCCTAACAAACAATTAACCCGTAAACGGTCCAAGCAGATCTAGGTTCACATGCGTAGTGCTCCAAAAGTAGACCTACGTTTTTTTTACATATTTTCAAATACAACAAAAAACGGAGATCAAAGTTTTTTACACGTTTTCAAATGTAAAAAAAAAAAAATCTACTTTTTTTTCTATCATGGACCCGCGCAAAGTACGATTACCTCCGAATGTACCAATATGTAAGTTATTTATGTAAGTCGTTTGTACTGATGTTGGGTCGAATGGAATCACTTCACAAATTCTTATGAACAAATTCGTCATACTGGCACTGAAACATACTTCTGGAGTAAAATAATATCGTTAATCCAGAGTCCACATGTACTTTCAAATGTTGAAAAAACGTATAAAGTGGACCCCCGGTTTACGATATTTTTTCACTCCAGAAGTATGTTCAGGTGCCAGTACTGACCGAATTTGTTCCCATAAGGAATATTGTGAAGTAGATTAATCCATTTCAGACCCCCAAACATACACATACAAACGTACTTACATAAATACACTTACATAATTGGTCGCATTAGGAGGTGATCGTAAAGCGGGGGTCCACTGTATATACGTTTGGACCGTTTACGGGTTAAATACTTTAAATGTATTAAATATGCTAAACAATTGTCTCAATCACAAACAAGTGAGGAACAATACATTCTTATTCTCATTACTTGTAACCATAATTCTATAATAACTGTCTGCTTGTTTGTTCTCCTTGTAACTTCTAAATTTACTGTTTATCAGCCCTTAATGTTTTTAAATATAAGCAATTAGTTATTGTCATTGTAGTCTGAAGTTAGGCTTACGTTTGCCCAAAATGCTGTGAATAAGTATGGGCTTTATGTATGTACAACTATATGTCACCCGTCCCCATACAAACATTGTATCGTGATGAAATTATCATTATTATTATTCTTTCCTTTCTTTCAACACACCGGCCGTATCCCACCGAGGCGGGGTGGCCCACCGAGGCGGGGTGGCCCACCGAGGCGGGGCGGCCCAAAAGGAAAAACAAAAGTTTCTCCTTTTACATATTATATTTACAAAAAAATCACAATATATAGAGGAGCTGTACTGTATACAGTATTGAAGACAAGGTAATAATGTACAATAATGAAAAATTAAAATTTGCTCCTCCATAACCTGTCTAGTTTTAATGTATAAGCAGTAATATTAGTCTACCTGAAATGCTCAGCCATGTTAGTGGCTTTTTTTTTTTTTTTTGTAACAAACTGGCCATATCCCACCAAGGCAGGGTGACCCAAAAAGGAAAACTAAAGTTTCTCTCTTTAAATTTAGTAATGTATACAGGAGAAGGGATTTCTAGCCCATTGCTCCTGCCATTTTAGTCGCCTCTTACAACACGCATGGCTTACAAAGGAAGAATTCTGTTCCAAATTCCCCATGGAGTTCTTTGTGCTTAGCAATACTTTATAATATGTAAATCACACATTGTATATTATGTATAAAATGAGTTTTGAATCTGAACATACAAGAACGCCTTCAGCTCCTCTTGCCGATATTATCAACCCAAGATGAGTTCCAGGGATCCTGTGAGAATATTCCAGTTGAGCTGGGCGGCAATACGGGATAGAGGTTGATGCGCTCCAGGTTGGGAAAATTCTTTTCGACAAAGTTCCAGAATTTGCGTTCATCGGGCTGGTGCACACTGACGGCCAAACTTTTGAGGTTCGGAAGAGCAGTGGCGACCATCTGTGCAGTCTGGAGTTTGATTTCACAAGACACTGGAAGCACAAGTAATTGTACGTTTCTCCAGCCACCACCTTCAATTACCACCTCCAAGGCTTCATTCAAGTTGTATATTGTAGCCCACATGCAGTGAACCTCTTGCAAATTTTTCATTTTAGCGTTTAAAATCTTGAAGAGCCGAACAGAAATGTTTTGCATGAGTTCCAACTTTTCAACTGTTGGGAATAAAGAATCTATACTGTTGGAATTGGATATATCAAAACCAAAGCTGTGCATCTTCAAAACGAACGTTTTGAGTTGAGTACAGGATTGGCTGAGAATTATCAAGTCCTGACTCTCCAGAAGGTAACTGGTAAGGTACAGGAATGTCAACTGGGGTCCATAGCTAGAGAACATCAAATCTTGAAACCTGCACACGCTTCCCACTGTCATGATGAGCATTTTCAAATGCGGGAGCAGTTTAAGCGACCTTCCAATGGTTGTTTCGTTACCTGGGTCTGAGCGCAGTGCCAGCACTTCCAACTTAGGGCAGAGAATTGGCAGTGTCTGCAGAGTGTTGACAGTAACCTCTTCGTGATCAAGCATCAAGTGTTGGACAGCAATAGTCTGCTTATTGTAGGTGGCTTGATAGAGGAAGTGCAGAGCGTCCCGCAGAATATACTCAGAACACTGAATGTGCTCTATCTCTGGTAACAAGAGCAACAGGGACACTCCCTTTCCCGTAAACCTCAACTGTTCATCACTGCAATCGTATTCGTCGGCAAATTCCGAGAAGTACACCCGCCTCAGCTTCCTGCAGTGAGCCAGAAAAGCCAGCCCCACATCAGTAATAAGATTTCCCATATCCTCCTCCCGGACATCGAAAATCACCAGATGGTGACAGTTCATTCCTAAAACAGCTAGGAGGTCATCTCCCACAAAAGATCCAATAACCAACACTTGTAGGTTGGTTAAGTGCCCCAATAAAGGCAGGAATGATAAGTACTGTTGACTGGTAATATCTTCCACCTTGAGGTGAGTAATATGAGACACACCACTGTTATGTAGGGAATCCTCCCAGTAGCTCAGAACCTGTTTAATGTTGTAAGTAGTGACGTGGATTTTCCCCTTGAGTACTAGGATCGGTAGAAAGAGCTGGGTGAGGTGAGGGTTATCGTAGTACTGGCAGGAAGTGGCCAACTTTGCCAAGAGTGGGGCAGCTGGCAACAGGTACTGATACACTGCGAGGACCTTAGCCTTGTCTTCCAGCTGGAACGAGTGCAACCACTCAATGACGACATCCCACGACAGCTTCTGTAACGCAAGTACCTTCATACTTCACAAGTTCCTCTCTGCACAACTCTTCCTGCAAAATGTATTGAAATTAATACTAAAAGACCTTAAAGAATACTACTTCATAGCAGGTGAAAAAACTTACAATTTCCGAGTCCATTTATTAAAGTCATAAAATACAATCGGTCACAATGGTGACTGACTTTCACCAAAACATTCATCGTATTTTGTTACTTTGGTGAATGTCCTAACTGCAAATTTTCTCACGTCCTATGAAGAAAAATTTAAATGGCAAAATTTTTTAATAATTTTACACAAAAAAATAAAATCACATGACAAAATACTCTGATAACCTTTTTTAAAATACCAGTACAGTAGTAAAATTACTGAAAAAAATACTTTACAGCAAATATACTGAAAAAAGTATCATACACACATAAAAGTTTATTTAAAAAAAAAAGGGGGGGGAGGGGTAATTTCCAAAAGTGAAGAAATATCATATTAACGTAGAGCATCTACGATATTTTGTCATTTTTTTAACATGCTTATCAGCAAGATGGATCTACGAAAGACTATGTAATCATAGAGTAATGAGGGAAGAAAGGTGAGTGGATGCACTGAGGAGTCTGTGGAGATACAGAGCTTTACTCCATGGGAGCAAAGATGGGGAATGTAGAGAGTAGTAGTGTATAACAAGGCTCTTATATGGGTTGTGAAGCATGGGTGGTGATGTTGTAACAAGGAGAAGGCTGGAGGCAGTGGTGGAGGAGGCCAGAGGTAGTGGTGGAGGAGGCTGGAGGTAGTGGTGGAGGAGGCTGGAGGTAGTAGTGCAGGAGGTGGAGGTAGTAGTGCAGGAGGCTGGAAGCAGTGGTGGAGGAGCTGAGGCAGTGGTGGAGAGAGGAGGCTGGAGGCAGTGGAGTGGAGGAAGCTGGAGGCAGTGGAGTGGAGGAGGCTGGAGGCAGTGGAGTGGAGGAAGCTGGAGGCAGTGGAGTGGAGGAGGTTGGAGGCAGTGGGAAGTGGAGGAGGTTGGAGGCAGTAGGAGTGGAGGAAGCAGAGGAGGCAGTGAGTGGAGGAAGCTGGAGCCAGTGGGGTGGAGGAAGCTGGAGGCAGTGGAGTGGAGGAGGCTGGAGGCAGTGGAGATGTCATGTCTGAGGGCAATGTGTGGTGTGAATATAATGCAGAGAGTCTGTAGTTTGGATATTAGAAGGTGGAAATAAATGGTATAAAATACCGACACAGTGGAAATATAAACACATAAACAGTGTAATTTATTATTATTTATTAATTAACACACTGACCGATTCCCACCAAGGCAGGGTGGCCCGAAAAAGAAAAGCTTTCACCATCATTCACTCCATCACTGTCTTGCCAGAAGGGTGCTTTACACATACAGTTTTTAAACTGCAACATTAACACCCCTAACATAATGTGATCCTTTACTGGCAATAAAGGATCACATTATACTGCTTATGTGTTTATATTTCCATTAGAAGGAGGTGCAGGGTTTCTAAAGGTATTATCTAGAGGGTTGAGAAAGGTTTGTTGAGGTGGTCCAGACATTTAGAGATGATCTAACAAAATACAATGACATGGAAGGCATATAAATCTATAGCAGAAGGAAGCAGGGATAGGGGTTGGTAAAGGAGGTTTTGTGTGCGAGGGGCTTGGACTTCCAGCAAGCACGTGTGAGTGTTAGATAGGAGCGAGTGGAGACAAATGGTTTTTATGACTTGATGTACTGTTGGAGTGTAAGGTAACATGAAGGCATTCAGGGAAACTGGTTAGCTGGACTTGAGTCCTGGAGGTGGAAAGTACAGTGCCTGCACTCTTTAGGAGGGGTGTTATTGTTGCGGTTCTTGAACTGTAGTGTTGGTATACCTCTGGCAAAACAGTGACGGAGCAAATAATGATGAAAGCGTTTTTTTCTTCTTTCAGTCATCCTGCCTGGGTGAGAAACAACCGATGTGTTTATTTTTTCAACACACTTGCTACCTCAAAAAAATTAGGAAGCGACAAGGCAGAAGTAAACCTGTCTCTCTCTGATTATTATTAAACATAAGCGTATCAGTGTAGGGTGAGACTTCAAATGTAGGGTGAGACTTCAAATGTAGGGTGAGACTTCAAATTTAGGGTGAGACTTCAAATTTAGGGTGAGACTTCAAATTTAGGGTGAGACTTCAAATTTAGGGTGAGACTTCAAATTTAGGGTGAGACTTCAAATGTAGGGTGAGACTTCAAATGTAGGGTGAGACTTCAAATGTAGGGTGAGACTTCAAACATCATCTAAGGAAACACTTCGTATTGCTTTCTCTCCCATCAAGAAAATACTCTAAATAACTATGGGCTTTCTGGACGTATAACTAAATGTCACCCGTCACTGTACAAATATTGTTTACCTGGAGTTTACCTGGAGAGAGTTTCGGGGGTCAACGCCCCTGCGGCCCGGTCTGTGACCAGGCCTCCTGGTGGATCAGCGCCTGATCAACCAGGCTGTTGCTGCTGGCTGCACGCAAACCAACGTACGAGCCACAGCCCGGCTGATCAGGAACTGACTTTAGGTGCTTGTCCAGTGCCAGCTTGAAGACTGCCAGGGGTCTGTTGGTAATCCCCCTTATGTGTGCTGGGAGGCAGTTGAACAGTCTCGGGCCCCTGACACTTATTGTATGGTCTCTTAACGTGCTAGTGACACCCCTGCTTTTCATTGGGGGGATGGTGCATCGTCTGCCAATATTATCATTATTATTATTAATTATGATTATTATTATTAAGTTTTTAAAGCCTGTGTGAATTAGAAGATAATGAATCTTATACAAGAGTGAAAGTTGTCACACTTGTTCTGTGATAATGACGGATGGATCTCTTGGGAGATTCTGAAGAGAAGTTGCAAAGGTTGGTGGGGGAATTTGGGAAGGCATGCTGGTGAGGGTCTCTTGATCCAAGGGAGTGGAGGCCTCCTTTCCCATGGGATCAAACTTATTGCTCTAGGGCACTGTGAGGGTCGGTGATGTTTAATTTGTCAAGAACGCCAGTGTTGGCTTACAGTGGAGAAGTGGACCTAATATTCCCCTTCCTTGGATCAACCCTGATTACTTCCCATGTCCCTAGGTGCTTTGTGGCCCCTACGGGCTCAGCACTTCCCCCTATAATAATGTCTCCTGAGGTGGGTGTGAATCAGTTGCCAAACCCCAATAAAAATAAATTCAGTGACTTTATTGATGGTTTTTATTAACACATCGGCTGTTTCCCACCAAGGCAGGGTGACCCGATGAAGAAGAAACACTTTCATCATCACTCACTCCATCACTGTCTTGCCAGAGGCGTACCTACACTATAGTTAAGATAAGATAAGATAAGATTTCGTTCGGATTTTTAAACCCGGGGGGTTAGCCACCCAGGATAACCCAAGAAAGTCAGTGCGTCCCCCAGGATGCGACCCACACCAGTCGACTAACACCCAGGTACCTATTTGCTGCTAGGTGAACAGGACAACAGGTGTAAGGAAACGTGTCGAAATGTTTCCACCCGCCGGGAATCGAACCCGGGCCCTCCGTGTGTGAAGCGGGAGCTTTGGGCACCAGGCCACCGGGCTGTAATATATCCCCACACCTTCAGAGTGCAGGTGCTGTACTTCCCACCTCCAGGACTCAAGTCTGACTAACCGGTTTCCCTGGATCCCTTCATGTTACCTTACTTGCACTCCAACAGCACATCAAGTCATAAAAACCATTTGCCTCCACTCATTGTTAGTATTATGAGCAAGGGGAAGGGCTAAACTCATAGGATTATACAGTGCCTGTGGGGGGATGTGGAAGGTATTCAGGCTTAATTCAGGAAACTGGAGCACAGATCCAATTCCCTAGATCAAAAGCCCCTCACCAGCATCAAGGAACCTCCCCTGATGGGCTGCCTCCACTCAATCCTAACACACACACACACACACACACACACACACACACATAACACACACACAACACACACACACAACACACACACTCACACAACACACACACACACACACACACACACACACACACACACACACACACTACACACACACACACACACACACACAACACACACACTGCAAACCTCACTCAAGGAAAAAGATCTGGGGGTGAGCATAACACCGAGCACATCTCCTGAGGCGCACATCAATCAGATAACTGCTGCAGCATACGGGCGCCTGGCAAACCTACGGATAGCGTTCCAATACCTCAGCAAGGATTCGTTTAAGACTCTGTATACCATTTACGTTAGGCCCACACTGGAGTATGCAGCACCAGTTTGGAATCCACACCTAGTCAAGCACGTCAAGAAATTAGAGAAAGTGCAAAGGTTTGCAACAAGACTAGTCCCAAGCTAGGGGGAAATTGTCCTACGAAGAAAGGTTGAGGGAAATCGGCCTGACGACACTGGAGGACAGGAGGGTCAGGGGAGACATGATAACAACATATAAAATACTGCACGGAATAGACAAGGTGGACAAAGACGGGATGTTCCAGAGAATGGACACAGACACAAGAAGTCACAATTGGAAGTTGAAGACTCAGATGAATCAAAGGGATGTTAGAAAGTATTTCTTCAGTCATAGAGTGGTCAGGCCATGGAATGGCCTAGAAAGTGAAGTAGTGGGGGCCCGGGAACCATACATAGTTTTAAGGCGAGGGTATGATAAAGCTCATGGGGCAGGGAGAGAGAGGACCTAGTAGCATTCAGTGAAGAGGCGGGGCCACAAATAGGTGAGTACAAATAGGTGAGTACACACACACACACGCTTGCTGGAAGTCCAAGCCCCTCACTCACAAAAACCTCCTTTACCTCCCCCCCCTGTCCCTTATTGCAGTTACCTTATTAATCTGAAGAGACAAGCAAGAGGCATATTTTCCAGATCTTGCCGGCCCTACACGGCTTCCTACAAGACTTGAAATGGAAGACAATCCCCCCGTCTGGGTTAAATCTTCTCTCTCGCTGCACTCTGGAATGTTAGAAATCACAGATAAAAATATTTCTATGGTGTTTTAGGAATGTAATTCATGACTATGGTCCCTTCCACTTGCAAGGGGGTTCCCTTTCCCCCATGCCCCCATCACAGTT